CGATCGTCATACATATCAAATATTATCGCTTTCATTATCTCGCAAAGAAGACTAACGTTTGGGACACTCGTTCGATTTCATCTTCAGGGCAATTAGATGGTTGTTCCTGTTTGCCCTGACTGCTTCCGTCTTGCCGCATGCCTGTAATTATATCCGTGCTCGGCACACGAACATTGACCTACCTATTCTTTGCTGAATGTCCCTACGATTGACCGATAATGGGCCCGCGTGACCTTTGGGGGCAAACAAATTGCTCGTCAATACTAACCATACTGATTGCAATTAGGCAGTCGAGTTCGACGATTTCCATGTATTATCCAGAAGAGGCTGGCGCAGGGACGGTGAATTGCGCATGGGTTAGTTTAAAATGATAGTTGACTTGCGCTGCATTTACCGCACGCTCTAGGCCTTACCCATTTGGGCTTATTTTGAAGAAATATTCAAGAAAACCGGAGATGGAAGAGGACGAAAACCCAGGCACTGTGGGTTACTACAGCCGGAATACCAGAAGAAAGTTAGGGGGCGGCTTGCCTCCCAGCGGAGTGGGAAACCCATTGAGGTCCCATTTAGCGAGTGCGGCCTGTCGGCCAGCTAATCACCGCACACAACAAAACACACACACTGGGCTGCCTGCACAGTTCAAGTCTCCTGTCAGTCGGTAGCCTCAACTGCATCAGATTGTTTATAGTGAGGAAGATGCACTGAGAGGTCGACCTCACTCGCTTCCCCCACCTTCAGTTTCAGTCAGTGCACGCGTAAGGACGGCGGTAAAGGACATTTGGGGCGTACTGGCGGTAAGCAATGCCTGTGCTTGATAGATGGAAGCCTGACCCACTAGCGTCCAGGTAGAACTCCGGGGGTGACTGCTCAGTGGGCCCAAGGGATATGGATCTGCGGGAGTGTTCAGGCAGGTTGCAACGTTACTCCGGTCCAAGGCAACTCAGCAGGGTCTGGGGCTCGCCTTGAGGAGGATAAAAAGGGGGTGAAGTTTTGTGGGTAGGCGAGGGCAAACAGTCGGTGGTCCTCGGGGTCTAGACGTTTTGCTATCGGTCGCTGAATGCCTAAATCGTCAAAACAGCCACCTAGCCGAGCACCATTCGTCTGAGGAGGGCTGGCTTGGATGCCAGCTAAGTGGGAGTGCCATTAAGGCTATATTGAGAAGGGGCCATTGCAGCCTGACTATCAGTTCGCCAGTCAGTCAGTCCGCACAACACAACGCATGCTGGACTGACCGCGCCGTCCGAGTTATCCCGTCAGCTGGCAGCCTTCCAAGCCACAGCTTTTAGCGCACCTTAAAAGCCTCAAGCGCATCGTATTATTTATAGTGAAGAGAAGTCTCTGAGCCGTAGGCCTTACCCTCTTCCCCACCGCCAGTATTAGTTCACTGTCCGAGTTGTCTGACGTGGAATTGGCTGACTACTAGGGCAATCGTAGCGTGGTCAACCGCATATAAGTCATTACAGACGGCCATTATGTCACCGACGTTGTTGTTGTTAATGTCGCATTGTCGGCGTATTAACGGCTAGAGTGCATGCCATTAAGTCATCACAGCATCCACTCTAGACTTATGCGATAAATGCGAACGCTGGTACGTTGGGTAACTGTGCGTGATTTTTCAACATTTGCAGTACAATACAGACTGAATCTATTAGTTGGTGTAACTGATAAGTAAGTCAAGCGTTAACCTAGAATGTCTAACGAATGAAGACCAGATTTTTATGACTGACCAAACTGACATTTGGTAACACTCCATAAGATCCATATTTGCATGGATATTAACTCTATGCCTACCGTCAGTCTAACTCGAACTTTTAACCTGACCTTTACAATTAAGGCTTTAAATTATATCCATGAGACTGAGCGCAATGTTTTTGAATAGGGGCGTTACCTTCGCCGGAAATGATAATCTCATTAGCATACTTGCCATATTAATTTTCGGGACTACAAGTATTCAGCTAAAGTTCGACTTTTGAACGATAAAGTAAAAAGTCTTGTTGCATGCTCAATTTATTTGATCGACCGTAGGAAAAATAAATAGCTGTACAGGCAATATTTATTGTTTGAACGAGGCAAGACTTGGTTAGAAATAAATGTGTTAATGAGGGATGGGGTTTGTTTCTGTCGGCTGTGGCGGTGGCTCTCAGGACAGGTTAATTGTGTAAGATACCAAAAGATAAACAAGCTGTGAAAAGCAGATTTTTGGAGAAAAATGACTTATCCTGCGAGGAATGCATATCAGATAAGATATTAGGGTGTTTTTCCGTCTGAATCTTACGTACACCTTATACTGTCTATCCCACCAACCGACGATAGTGTCACCGACGACTAGCCATCGACAGTGATCGTGATCTGCTACGCAAAGCGTCGTCTGCTAAACAATGTTAGTCAGTATTTTATAGATCATATAGAAGCCAATCTCCCAGCCTGAGTGGAAAAATAGCCCAGTCTTTGTTGCAGCTTGATCCCTATGTATGAATGAAATTGGAGTTTTGGTTGTAAACAGAATTCTCTTCAGTGAAATGGAGATGACCACAGCTGACGTGTGACTAAATTACTTCTTGCCTCTCTACGACTCAATCGCGTGTAAATTTAAGTTGACAGAAAAATAAGCTAAGTTATTGGTTATAATTTTTTCTCCCCATGGTCGTTTTTGGTAAAATGTCCTACTGGTACCGTTCTTACAGGCATTTTTAGCAGAATTGCGCAAGGAAATGGGAGTGGGTTTGTGCGGTTGCCGCATCCACGGACTAAAGTGCGGTCTAGGGGGTTGATTTCAGAGAAGGATAGCGAGGCTCGTTACTCGGCAAATAAGTGCGCCCCGGAAGTCTTCCCTTCGCTGTAATGACCGTTTGGTTTGCGGGCAGCAGACTATGTGAAAGAACTTGTTAGCAATTAACTGAGCCGTTAATTGGATTTGCAGTCAGTAGAGGTTCTCTGCTGGTGAATAGTCAACCAAGAACTAGCACAATCTGCATTGTTCTTCTTCGTTCTATATGCCACTTTAAATTATGTTCTTCAAAATTAGGTGCCGATTTGGGGTCATAATAATGACGGTAGTTGTAGGTAGTGTTTGCTTGGACTATGTATCTATAGACGATGTTATATATGGTAAAAATTATACCAAAACTACATCAAAACAAAAAACCGTAGCAGGCAACCAACTTGGCTGGTCATGTTGCAGTATACATAGGTTTTTTGTATATATGCGTATAGGTATATAAGCACACATAGTTGTATGTTATATTCATACCAATATACCAATACCAATTAATTTATACCAAAACCACACCCAAACTAGGAAATACTTCACGGTAATCAACCAGGATCCTGATGTTGCAGTATACATAGGTATTTTTTTTAAATCGAAAGAGGATAAACAGTTGGCTACGTATCCATAGTTACGCTAGACAATTCCCAGCAGCGGACCCTTAAATTGCCGCATAATCATTTGAGATTTAAGCCATTCATTGGTCATTGTTATTTGTTGGACAGGCATGTATTAATCCATCAACGGCAAGACAGTAGGCACTTACCTCTACTTTGAGCGCAGCCTACCAAGCATTGAGAGCATTGTTGGCTTTCCATTGTCCAAATCCAGACTTGGTTTGCACATCTAAGGACGGCGGCGAAAAGAGAACAACAGAGGTATCAGTTTCAAGGCAATTTGTTATCCCCCCGACTGAAACAGGCGGGAGGGAGGGGGAAGGGAAATCCGAGAGATCATAAAATTTCAACATGAGACAGTCGACCCTGACAATGTTAGCTGCGGATGCCTATGAGAGGGTACTGACAGTACCTAAAACCTCACTAGGTTTGGTGTTACAAAAGACGCCTTACATGACAAATTAGTAAATGAAGTTGGGCCACTCATCAAAGTAAGGATAGGTACACCGAATGTGGCGCTAAATTACAGGGAGATTAATTTCAAAGTTATTTTTACGATGAGGCTTCAGTTTGGCGTTAAATGTATAATCAGTGACTAATAGTATTAAATATTAACCAA